TGTTGTATGAGGACCTTGGTGAGACTCTATTCCGCCTGCACTACTATTGCAGAGATTCTTAACATCCTGGTCAAAAGGTGAGTGGCCTACCATCCACAGTGCAGTAAAATTGTGTTGCCTACCAGCTGTGAGCACAGGGAGGTCCTTTCAGCTTTCTGGGCCTTGGTTTCCCCTCTGAGAAGCAGGGGTAATGAGACCAACCTGGCAGACGTACTCTCAGACTGCCAGGGATGAGTCATGGCGAGTGCGCATGCTACACCTGGCTCTGTGGGAGAGGCTGCTAGGGAGGATGGACTAAGTGCTCACACTGTCCGTTCATCTCTCCTTCATGAAGGAGCGCCTGTCATTTCTAAAGTGACTTTGGGTGGGGAAGGAGGGCCTCTGTCTCCATAAAGGGTGGGGTTGGTGGGCGCCTGTGTCTGGTCCAGGGATGGGCAGAGCCTGATTCCCCCACATCTAGGTCTCCCTGGAGGAGTGAGTTCAGGGCGCCCACTGCAGGAAGGAAGCAGTCACAGAGCACTGCAGGTGGAGCCTGGAAGCCCTGGGTGCAGAGACGAGGGCTGGGGATCGATCCCTGAGCAGCCTGTGGAAGAATCCATGCCCCTCGATGATCCCCACCAGCTCTGTGTACCCGCCCCTCATTGTAAACCCCAAAAAGGTGGTGTAGGCAGAGTCATGCTTCAGGTCCTTCGGGGCCTCAGCTACACATGGACCTCAGGAGACCAGTGTCCATGGGAGAGGAGACTCTGATGTGCTTGCTGACAATCAAGCAGCACGCTAGTGCACGAGGTGAGGGCTGTGACAGGGCCAGCCTCCCTGTGTGCCTCACACAGGTCTCCATGAGACATCCTGTGTGCTGGGCTGTGAGGTGGACAGGCAGGCACACCACTGGCCTTTCCCGGGAGCGTTACTCTTCAGTGGGGAGGGTCCGGGGGACAGACAGCAACATTACCCAGGCTTCCTAAGAAAGGACAGTTGATCAGACCATTGATGAAGAGCTCCCTTGAGCTAAGGCGCTGTCCTAGCCCCCTGTTTAGTGACCAGGCCTGCCATTGTCTGGACAGCCATAAGGGTTGAGCCTGAGACTGGCCTCCAGAAAGGGAGGCAGGCAGAGGGCCCCAGCCCTTTGCAGGGGGGCCAGGTGAGGGCCATGTGGTGGGAAAGGCTGGGGCTCTGGCCCTGGTTTTCACCAATCCCCTGAGAGCCATCTCTCAGACTTCCTAACCACCTGGCTGGACAAATGTCTCCATCAATCTGACCCTCTCCCTGACACCACC